AGAAAAGCAAATGGAAGCCCCAGTTAAGGCTACAGAATTTGGTAGCAAATAGGCAGAGGTAGTTCTGGGTTAAAAAAGCCTTTATTAGAAGAGCTCACAACCTGTAACATTAACAAGACTCTCAGAGAAAATTTCATGGTCCAGCAGTTTATAAATAACTTCTCGTGAAGAAGGACTCTTGTAAAGTCCTTCCCCACAGTGGCCATGGTTTAGGTGTTAAATAAAGTCAGCACCAGATAGCTCAGATAGCTCCTAAAGCCTTGAGAACACATAATAAATGCTCTCCAGGTTAGTCTTCAAAGGCATAAGTAAGTGTATGTAGCAACCTTTACTTAATTTTGCTAACTGACAATCAAACAAATCTAGTCTATTATTTTGTGGAACAAAAGGTTAAGGGTCCCAATTAAGCCAGTGGTGATTTCACTGGACAAAGAAGGTCTTTTTTGAGGTATAATTTACATACAGTAAAATTTACCCTTTTCAGTGTGCAGTTCTATGAGTTTTAATAACTGCATATGGTAGTATAATAACCACCAATCAGGATATAAAATAGTCCTATCACCACTCAAATTCCCTCATGCTTCTTTGCAATGTGCCCTTTCCCCACTGATCTGGGTTATGTTCTGATAGTTTTGCTTTTTCCCTAATGGCATATAAATGGAATCACACAATACATAGCTTTCTGAGCCCAGTCTCTTTCACTCAGCATAATGCAGTTGGGAGTCATCCATGATAGTGGGTTTATCAGTAGTTTGCCCCTTTTTACTGAAGCAGTTTCTTTAAGCAAAACAGCTTAGTGATCAATGATTGACCAAATGAAATAAAAAATATGACCTGGGTACACTAAACAGCAGAGTAAAACACAGCATTGAACCATAGCTTTCCAGTGAGCTGAGAGCCATGTTCTAGTTTCTACATAAAGCAAGATATGTATATAAAATGTCTAGAACTGTGCTTGGCACATAGTATGTACTCAAAAAGCCCACGTTGTATAGTTGTGCTAGGGAGTGCCACTCACAGACCACAATGTTATGATAACAGCAGTAATAATTTAAGACTCAACTCATTGCATTAAATTACGTTTTTATAGTTTACCTGCTAAGGATGCATTTGACTCCACTTCTTACAACACTGTATTCCAAATAAAGAATAGATCAAGGGAAGGATTGCTTTTCAGAAAATAAATTAAAAGGCCAGGTGATAACTGTGTGTGGAGACTTTGAACTGGGTTTTGGGTAGACTTCACGATTCCCATTAATTATCGTGATCATGGCCAAGTCATCTGAAGTCTCTTTTGAGGTTCATTTTCCTTTAACAGCACCAGTCTTCTTTCCCACAAATGGAGGAAGTATCAGTCAGGATTTGACAGCCTATAGGGTAATGTCATAATACCAAATACTTGAGAAACAATGTAACATCTTAAGAATCAATACTCTTCATGGTTGAGGTAAATGGAGGATACCTCTAAGAGCAGCTCTGAGAGAAGAAGAGTAATACTAGTAAACTCTCAGTAGAAAGATCTTAAGGCACCTCGCAATTTCAGGGTAGAATAATATTCTAATTAGTTATTTAACTGGGCTCATTATTCTTCCCACCCCAAACTTACAGTTTTTAAACAATAAGACAGTATTTTTATAACAGGACAGTATGCTGTCATTGATTCTTTCACTTGCCACACTCTACCCTGGCAGTAGGTAAAACACTTTAAGTTGTCAAGCAGTTTAAGGACAAAATAGGGAAAAATCACCCAGTTCCTTGAAACAGCCCATTTTATAGGGGAGAATTTTATACAAACGTGTCTAGAAAGCATGACTAGAAATCAGATTAATACAACCACAAGCATTTTTGCTTTTATAATCAATGTAAAGAAATTTAGCAACTTTTGTGTTTACAGGAAATAGGGAACCCTGGTTACATACATTTCTGGAATTAATTCTTTATATTAATAGTAAGGTAACCACATAATTTATCCTCCAACCTGGGGCACATTTGAAAATAAAAGGAGATACTATTAATAATTGCACTGGGACCACAGGTATTAATCAGAAAAGGGGTATATGGTTATATAACTTTATAGTAAATATAAATTGGTAATTAAGGTGGTAAATTTTATGATATATGTTTTTTTACCAAAATAAAACATACATGCAAATGGCAAGTAGTCCTTCCCACAAGAAGAAAATCTTTATCTTCCCCCTGAAGTAAAGGAGATTGACTTAATTTTTGGAGTCTTAATAAGTTAGCATCTAAATTCAATGAAACATTTTCTGTTAGACTGGGAATTTATCAGGTACTACATGGAGCCCTGTAACTTGAGCTGTTGAAAGTTAGACATGCAAGACAACAGGACTAACATAGGTGTTCCTATTCTGGTGAGTGTATACATCTATAATAAATTTTAAAAGGGCTAAAATCTCACTAACTTAACAAAAATGATGTGGAAAAATAACATACACTATTTCTTCTGATCTTGAGGAAGTCACTTATGCTTAATTCTCGCAGCTGTGACATAGAATGTTTGGACCTTATTTTTCAATATGCATTGTAAGAGGAACTTTATTAATGCGGATTGGCATTTAGAGCAGCGGTCCCCAACCTTTTTGGCACCGGGGACCAATTTCATGGAAGACAATTTTCCATGAAAAATTGGGGTTGTGGGGGGCAGTGGAGCTCTGTGGCCCAGTCCATGGCCTGGAAGTTGGGGACCACAGAAAAGGACCCCTAAGACAAGAGATAACTGATTTATGAAGTGATCCTAAAATCCAATCCAGCCTATTTCATGCACATGACATAATTTCTTCCATATTAGGCGTGGGAGTTAAGTCACAGGTGGGAATCAAAGCAACATCTAACAACTACATGAATCTTAACAGCAGTACCACCAGGGGTACTATAGGCCAGAAAGGAACAAGGTTGTTCTACCCAGGAGGGGTGAGCCAGGATTACAAACCACCCTTGTTATTTTCCTGTGGACAGGTCTCAATCGTCACATCCACTCCATTTGGTTCCTGGGCTATGGGCTTAAGCCTAACTGTATGTTCTGGCTTTTCTGTCAATTTTTTCCCTTGAATGTCTGCCATCCTCCCTGGTCACCAACTCTACATTTCCTTTCTCTATTTAGCTCATACACACCTCCCTCCTACTGCAGACATCATCTTCCAGCCCTGTGCCTTTGTCTATGTTCACATACTTGCTACTCTAGTCTCTTCCTACAATTTGCCTCTTCCCACAATTTGCCTCTTCCCACACCAACCCCACTGTTTTAAATCAACTATCTCCTAAATAAAAACATTTTCTATAAAGTCTCTTCATTGTGACGGGGATAGGAGTTACAATGTAAGGCTACTTTAATTTCATTAATCTCTGAAAAGTCATTCAGTTTCACACATCCAACGTAAACAAAGACCTTCAGATGAAGGGCTGGAAGCAGCCTGAGGACTAACACCTGCTCATTTCTTGGCCAGCCCTCTAAGTTCACTTCTGTCCCAGTGGTCAAAGCTGCATTTTCACTTTTCTCCTTATTCTATACTACGCATCTGTGCATTTCTGTGCTTTATCACTTCTATGTATTTGCCCTAAGCTATTGCTTTCTGAATTTCAGTTTCTTGTTGTCCTAACAGGAGCCTCATTACTTCTTCAAACAATAAAATATTATAGTCCATTAATGAAGTTATATATCATTTAATCAAATATCTGATTATCCTGAACAAGAATAAAACCTTTTGTGTAGCTGAGTAAATAAGATATATAAACCCACACATCACACAAACAGATCAAGCGCATGTCTAAACAATAAAGTTTTTAATAGTTAATAAAGTCTGTAGATTTTAGATCTCTGCACTATTAATGGATGTCAGCTATACCAGTAACGATTTGCCTCTTGGCCATGTTGTAAATATTAGGGAAAAATAATCACATGCTAAAGATCATTTTGTTACCAATAACCTATTTCACATATAAGGTCAACCTTTTCATTTTTCACAGCATCTTATAGAAAAATAAAACAATGAAACGGAATGATGGAGAAATGTCTTCTATTTAGTAAGCTACCTGCTGACAGTGATCAAAGGCAGGAAAACACCAGACAGAGCAGAACACTCAAAAAGCACAACCATCTGGATTAGTGAAGGAACAGAAGGGAGCAAGAAATCCCCAGAAAGTGTCACAGTGCAAACTGAGACCCAAAATTGGTGAACTTGAGTCCTCAAAAGAGTTCATTTAGTTCATTTTACTTGAGAAGAATGTAACAATACAGTACATTTTAGGATACATTTAGAACACAATATCAAGTAGTTAAAATAAAATTAAGGCTACTGATGATCTCCAAAATTTTAGAGTCAAGATAAATAAATAAACCAATTATCCTTTTATTTTCCTTCCCCCTAACTTTCTTCCAATGACTAAGCCTGATCTGGAAAGAGAGGACTGGAACAAAAGAATGGCTCAGGAAACCTAGGTCTGGAAACACAGTAATCATTATTTAAAGCTGGGAGAAAGTGGGCAAAACTAAAGTCTAGATAATTTACTTAAGCTGAAAAACTCAAATTTATTTTCAACACCATTTCTACAATGCCTTCCCCTCCTAGCCTCCTTTCATTGTCCTACAACAAAAGCCATAGAATCCTTTAGACCAGTGCTTCTCAAAGTGTAGAACCCCAACCAGCAGTATCAGCATCGGCTGCAAACTTCCAAGAAAAGCAAATTCTAAGGCTGTACTCCAGACCCATTGATTGAGAAGCTCTGAGGGTGGGCCCAGAAATCTGGGTTATACCAAGCTCTCTGATGCTTGCTAAAGTCTGAAAACCACTGCTCCAGATAATATGAATGGGAAAGGCACAGGAGTTTTCAGTTACAGAACCAAGAAGATTCTTAAGTCTGAAGTGACAAAGGGGAACGGAGAAGGGAAGTCTATTACGTAAACGGTGATTAGCTTAATTTCCAGATTAAGGACCAACTATAACACTTAGCAACCTCCAATAAGTAGTACAGAAAACTGGTACCTTCTAGATGTTTCAAGAGTGCCCTACTGCTATTTCCATGAGCAGATATCAGAACGGTTTTGCCACTTAATACTTCAGGAGCAATCTTTTCATTCCAATAGGGAAGGAGTCTCTCCAGAACATCCTTTAAGCTTTCAGATCGTGGCAGCTGATCCAAGGGTACATCGCACACTTTATACCTCCGGTCATTGTAGATTTCATGGTAGTAAGGATGAGATTCCTCAATGGGAGGCGGGGTCACGCTGTAGCTTCTTCTCCAGAGCCTCACTTGTTCTTCACCGTGGTTCAAAGCCATTTGCTCCCTGTTGAGACCAATCAAGGCTCCATAGTGACGTTCGTTTAAACGCCAGGAGCTTTCCACAGGAACCCATTCCTGCCCCAGCTCTTCCAGGATCAGCCAGGCTGTGTGGATGGACCGATTAAGGACAGATGTGAATACACGATCAAACTCAAAGTTCAGTGCTTTGAGTTGCTTCCCACAGTTCCGGGCTTCCTCCATTCCATCACTGTTAAGTTTCTGATCCACCCAGCTACAAAAACGATTCTCCTTATTCCAAGCACCCTCTCCATGTCTTAACATAATAAGTTTGTACTTGGACATGCTGATGTCTGAGCTTCTTTGGTGTTTTCAAATGGGCTAGTGTTCAAGGACAGTAATACATCTAGAGAAGAAACAAAAAGTTTAAGTTACATTATTCATTTAACTGACTACCTAGAAATGGAAGCACAATGTTACAACAGCCAGTTCCTAACATAAACTGAAATCCCTTTGAACAGTTTTGACATCAGACATCCGGTAACTCACACACTATGGTGCATACAAGCATATTCTACAGATAATTAATTACAGGGAATGTAGTTGACTGAAATTTTCTGATGGCTGGATAGTATGGCAATTGTATGATGTAAAATAACAGAATACTTCATTTTAATAGCATGCTGTGTTTCCACCTGATAAAAACGCAGTTCAGGCTTACAGTACAGAGGATAGATGGAGTTATAGATGTCTAAAAAAATGACTAGTACCTGAGAACTCCCAGCTCTTAGCAGCTGACTCTCACTTTGTTTTTCCTCTGGTGGAAAAGAAACATTGTCTCACCTTCTTGTTACTGATGTTGCTAAACATGTTAACTCAATGAAACCCCCCCTCCCCATATATCTGGTATGTATCACTTACTTGTAGCAACTAGCTCTTCAATGCCACAGGCTACAACACAAGCAAGAAAATTCTAAGGTACGCAAGACACAAGGCAGTTCAACATTCAAACAGCATACAAAGTGATTTAAAGTGACATTAATAGTAAATGTAGTATTCACCAAAATAATCTCTCACCTGCCTCAAGATATAGCTTTTAGCAGGAATAAATCCGGGTGAAAAACAAGCTATCAAATGTGAGCAGCTGAGAGATGTTGCCAGTAGAAACAGGTTATCAGGAGCAAGGCTGTGGGAGTGAGAGGAACCACACTGATAAGGAGGCCTGACTCCTCCTGCCCAGACCTTCGACATCTTCCACATCCTGCACGCACCAGCCACATGTAAACAGAATCTAGTAAAGTGGGACAGGCACCCCTCAAGCTATTCTGAACTCCTTCCATTTAAACTACTGGCTGAAAATCTGCTGGGCCCACTGTGCCCTGGGGGATCTGCAGACCTTACTGCTCAGCCCGCCTTTACTCTCTTGTGGTGGACGTGTCTAAGCTGACAAATGCTGCTCGGTCTCCATGCCCAGAGGTCTCCCCCCTTCACCCCGGTGTTTTCCACACTGGGGAGTCAGGATTATATGAGCATTGGGGCCTGGTCTTCTGCCACTCTTGGCAACTTCCATTAGCTGGAGATTTTCTGTCCTGCTTGAAACCTCAAAAGCTCCTTGTATAATAAATATTCAGCAATGAGTTAAATGGGAAAAGTCAGTTGATAGTGCATTCTGTGTGATTCACCCACAGTTATATAACAATCAGTGACAAAGTTAACTGGAATCTACATCTGGTTTCTACCTTTCTGTAGTGATTCCTAGAGAAACTAAAAGGAAAACAGTTTTTAAAATAAGGCTGAGGAGCTGGAGTTTCTAGATCTTCCAATTTTCAAAAAAAAAAAAACTAGAAATGTACATTTTTATGTGATATCTGATTTAAATATTAACTAATACAAATACATTTGTCAAATATGAGCTAAACAAAACGTGTCTGCAGGCTAGATTGTGTCTAATAGCTTATGACCAGATGAATGGTGAAGCCTCCAGGCCTCTTATTCCAGCTTTCCTCTGTTTCTGTTATTGTCCAACATCCTCTTTCAAAGGACAGACAGTGTACTCCCCATAATGCTCTGGGCTTCCTTCTCCCTGACTCACCCTTACAGCCCGCTCTTTTTCACTAAACCCTTCTCTGTTACCCTGCAGAGTTCCCAGCTCTGTAAACAAACTCCCACTCAGCTTTCAGGTTCAATGAGCTGAAAATGAACTGAAAACTACCTCTTCCCAAGTGACATCACTTCTCTCTCTAGTGGGGGGTGCTCATGCCTCATACCCTAGGGTTAGGGTCAGGTGATGGGCAGGGTCCCGATCCCTCTCAATGGTACTTCTGGACCAAATGACCCCTCCCTACCATCGTGGGGTGCAGGGGGAGCTTTGGTCCTGAGAGTCTTGCTATATTCAGCTGTAGCTCTCTTGCCCCCCTCATTTATTAGCAGCAAACTTCCTGAATATTGAGCATTTTATTTAAAAGACCCACTTCTTCCTGTTGATATTAGGATAAAGTTCAAAATCCTTAATGTGATTTGTAAAGCTTTGGTTTTCTTTCATTTCCTTGAGCATGACAGGTTCTTTCTTTCTTTCTTTTTTTTTTTTTTTGAGACAGAGTCTCACTCTGTTGCCCGGGCTAGAGTGCCGTGGCATCAGCCTAGCTCATAGCAACCTCAAACTCCTGGGCTCAAGCGATCCTCCTGTCTCAGCCTCCCGAGTAGCTAGGACTACAGGCATGCGCCACCATGCCCGGCTAATTTTTTCTATATATTTTTAGTTGTCCAGATAATTTCTTTTTTTTTTTTTTTTTTTTTAGTGGAGACGGGGTCTCGCTCTTGCTCAGGCTGGTCTCGAACTCCTGAGCTCAAACAATTCGCCCGCCTCGGCCTCCCAGAGTGCTAGGATTACAGGCGTGAGCCACTGCGTCCGGCCGACAGGTTCTTTCTTGACGAAATAGTTTTGCGCATACTGAATCCTACATGGGACACTTACCCATCACCTCCTCCCCTCTACTACCTCTTCAGTCCCACCCTGCTTTAAGTTACCACTATTCATCCTTTTAGATCAGCTATGTCCAATCAAAATATAATGCCATCCACAAATGTAATTCTAATTTTTCTAAAAGCCACATTAAAAAATAAAATGAAATAGGGGGAATTAATTTTAGTAACATATTTTATTTAATCCTATGGTCCAAAATATTATCATCCCAACATATGATCCATATAAAAATTACTAATGAGGTATTTTACATTCTTTTTTGTTTTTCGTAGTAAGTCTTTGGAACCTGGTATTTTATATTGAGAGCACATCTCAATGTAGACTAGCATGTGACCAGTGGCTCCTACACTGGATAGGGCAGCTGTAGAGCTCAGCTTAAATGTTATTTCCTGCAGGCCAGTGGTTCTCAAACTTTAATGTGTATCAAAAATCACATTAAACAGATTAATGTAATTGAAACAGATTGCTAGGCCTTCCTCCAGAGCTTGATTTAGTAGGTCTCAGGTAGGCCTGAGAATCTGCATTTCTAGCAAGTTTCCAGGTGATGCTGACACTGTTTGTCTGAGGACCATGCTTTTAGAACCTCTGCTCTAGGCAGACTTCTCTGCCCTTTCTCCTCGCCCACTGTGACGGAGGTCAGGCTTGCCTGTAACACACTCTTGTAGCATCCTGCTTTACCACATTCGGTGCACTTGTGATAGGGCGCTTGTGGCAGATTACTTGTTCAGTGTTTATGTGCCCTGTTAGACTGGAAGCTGCACTGAGGCAGGTCTTACTGCTATCTCTCTACAACTTAGCATGCCACTTGACACATACAAGTCACTTAGCAGATGTGCTGACTGAATCAAAGTCAGACAGAAATAATTAGATTGTGCTAATGAGCCTAAGGCATGACAGTTTTAGGGGTAATTGCCAAAGTAAAAACAGTCAGTTGGCAGGGCCAAGAGATTAGGAAGCATTAACTCAAGAATCCCTGTGTATTTAACAGCCAGCAGGAGCCAAGAATAATTATCCATTATAGTTCCATACCCTGTACTTTTGTTTTGTAAGTTTCGTATGTTCATGGATGGCCATTAACTCCATGGAGAAAATGGAGATTCCGACTGACTTGTTCAAAAACATAAGGCCACTAAATGGCAAACTGGGTCTGAGACCTGGGTCTTCTGCCTCCAATCCCTGTGCTCTTTCATCTTCATGACTGGAGATCTTAGAGTCGTGGTCTGAGGATCTGGGCTCCCTTGGCTTCACAGGAGCACCTCCAGTCCCAACTTGTCCTTCTAAACACAGGCAGCCATTTCATAAAACACGAGCAAACAAGGTGAGCATAAAGGAGGGCTCAGCTCATTACTGCTCTTGGGAAAAACTCAGGGCACAAAGTCAAGTCAGGCAATAGTCACTCCAACTTATAAGAGGTACCTTACTAAGAATGTATACTCCCTAGCCTAAATTAGAAACTACTCTTTTTAAAACCTCAAGTTTTGGTGTTTTGTTTTGTTTTTGGTAAAACCCATCACCCTGCAGTTGGTTCTTAAGGTTCCTTATTTATCCCACAGCAAAAGTTACTGGCACTTAAATTAAGTACTAGTTTTAATCAATAATTTACCTTATACCAAAAAGGGGACACATAGGTTATGAATTATCATTCTCTTGGGTTTCTTCCTTTTTAAAGTATGATCTGGCTTAAAGAAAAAGTTTACCAAGCAAACATCTTTTGCATGACTCTGTATCTCATCCCCCCCTCCCCTTCCTCTTCACTGTTTTTCTTTCCTTCTAGCCATTCCTTTTTTAGTCCCAACACCTACTTTGTGTCTTTCCCACTCTACTGAAATGGTCTCTCAAAAGACTGCAGATTAGTTACTTTTAACTAAGTGGAGACCATCTCCTCTCAGGACTCACTCTTCTTTGACCCCTTAAAGTTGACTACTTCTGTCATGGAAAAAAAATCCACTAAGATTTTGCTGTTGCTTTTCCTCTAGCTCTTCCTCTGTTACATCTTGGTCTTGGGTCTCTGCATTTTCTTAACCACTTGTAACTGTATTATGATGATGATGGTATTAGTCACGGCAGCTGACATTCATTGTGTGCTCACCGTGTACTTGGCACTGTTTAGATCCTCAACCACCATTCCATGAAGCAGGTACTGTGATGACCCCCATTTTCCAGATGCAGAAACAAGAGGAGAGGTTAATTTGCCCAAGGTAACACAGGTTATGACGGGCAGAGCTGGAATTCAGTCTTGGACAGGCTGGACCCCAAAGCCTATACCTGTGCCCTAAACCATTCTGTTATACTGTCACACTGAAACCCAAGGCTCTGTCCTCAATCCTTGGAAACCCTTTTCTCACTACCTTAGTCACATTAAAATGGCTGACTCATAAATTGAAAGTTTGGCCTACACACTCGGGAGTCTCCCCAGCCTGATC